TTACAGTTATTTTGAGAGTCCATTTTCAAAACACAAAACTGTGTTTGTTAGAAACTCAGGGATCATGCTGAGAGCTGCTGCCTTTTTATCTCTTAACATTTTCTAAATAAAAATCCCAAAGTTGTGATTGTTTTGTTAACCCCATTGATGCCCACACCCTTTGCTGATGTCCATTTCCCTGCAGAGAAATGGAGAAAGCATTCACAACTGTGCATGTCTAAATTGCCCCGCTCACCTTCCTTTGTATGATGCTTTGCTGAAGAGTCTACAAGGTTGTTTCAGTGTGAAGCATGGTTAGAAAGTTTTCTTAGGATAATTCTGAATCAAGCTTCCAGAGGCAGAGAGCAAGCAATAAGCTACCATTTAACTAGACTGCTCAAGGGAGTGGATAATGCCTGGGTGGTCCACACAGCATAGAAAGCAAAGCATTAAAAAATAACACGAAGAAGCAGGGACGGGGCATCAAGCCACTTTCTCTCAGGATTACCTCAAAGGAGGTGTTATAGAGTAGACCTATCTGAGGAGCTTGCTTGTTCATTCACACCCTTGCTAATGAAATCCAGCTAATATCAAAGTGCAGTTTTTTACCAAACATGTTGTTTTTGAAGGTCTTGATTTTCCTATCACAGTTACTCACTGGTCCATCTATACCACGGCATCTGTGAGAGGTAAATCAGACCCTGAACTCCACAGCCAGATAAAGACATTATTACACTTTTACTGTTATAAGTGGTTAGAAGTCAATCTGCGCCCATAACTGAACAGAAGTTCAGCACATACAGACTGGTTTAAAAATGGCAGGACCTGGTCTAAGATTTGTCCTCCACCACTGAAGGGGGGGTGCGAGTTTTGTTACTACTGATCTAAACTATGGCGCTTACAGAAAACCATGTCACTTAGATCAGTTCCACCTTGGGCTTTTTGAAGCCCGCATGGACTGGGGTGGAGGGATGGGTGGGGGGAAGAGATCTGGAGCACTCTGCTGACATACCTAAGTAAGGAATTTTGTAATTTGTAATAAAAGGAGTGGCACAATGACTGATCAGGGTGAGTTACAGGAATAGGAATTAAACATAAGAGCCAGATTTTACATGTTTTACTTCTTGGGGCAAAAGGCAAGAGTGCAAGGATGGAGCCTGTAAAAGGGGCTTGTTTGGCTTCTGAGGATTAAAGAGGAGTCTGGACCTTGTGTGCCTACTCTGGGCTCTGGAGCTTCAGGCCTTGTTGCAAGGGACACTTAAGCTTTACTGTGCTGTATGAAAAGGTAGAAGGTGTTCTGAGCAGGCACGTGGTGATGCTTACTGTGATCTCAGCCCACTCTGGACAGGGTTGGAGCTGCCTGTGCCCCTCCACGCCCTTCCCCTCAATACTGACTCTGGCACTGAGCACTGCAGCACACACATCTGTGAGGATATGCAACCTTCATGCTCAGAGCCTATGCGCTCCCCAGTGCTGCCCAGCCTGGCATACCTGTCCCTGGCATGCTGACAGTGGGCAGAAAGCGGCACAGGGAGCCGAGCCCAGGAGACAGGCTGCTCCTGCCAGTGGATGCACAGAAGCCAGGTCTCTACTACTGGCAATCTTGAATTGGCCCTGATGTGATGCCAGGGCTGGAACTGTATCATCAGTCCTAGCCCCCACACCTCACTACAGCCTTGAAGTTCACATTATTTCCATGGAGCAGTCAAATAATAACTGTACATATGATGGGTAATACAATCTGGAGATAATCCTCTTGCAAAAAGTCCTAACTTTGTTATGATACGATCATGCTTAGCATATGTTTTACTGCTTGACCACACAGACACTTGTGTTTTAAATGCAGTTAACACATCCTAAGTGTAACATGCCATGTGGCCCTAGAAGTGGCTGTTTCAGTTTGATATGGAGGCTCCATCTTGACTGCTGAAGATGAATTTCTTACACGTTCAGGGATCTGAAATTGAAGATCCCATTGACGTATAAGTCCTTTTAACTAGCGCATGTGCCCACGCCCAGATCCTTGTTTGTGCATACATATAGCAAGGCACCACAAGGCTGCCCACCTGTGCATGCAAAGGTGGGACTTTGTGCAAATGTAGTGAGTACGACTTAGGAGAGTCCTTTATGGAACTGTGGCCTCTTAGTGTCTGCTTCTCTCCTTAGTATTGACATTCCTGTGCCGGATGGATAGCTAGTGGGAATGCCAATGGTGTGTTCAGCCCATTTCATCTCTGGGCCCCCAGCTGAAATCTAGACAAACTCTGGGACTGGACGTTACCACCTGATGATTGTGTGCGCTACATTTGGAGATTTTACTCATGTTCTTAGTTCCTCTGTCACTCAAACAAAGCCCTTAAGCACATGCCTAACTCTCAGTGAAGTCAACGGGACCTCAATGTATCTTGGTTGAACTGGCATTAAAATTGGAAGAAATAAAATTGGTCAGAAAGAATTTGTTTTCTCCCAAATGAAATATATTTGACTTTTGGGCCTCCAAAGCCAGCAATCTTTTTTGGTTTGCAAACAACAAACCCAAAAAACCAAGACATTTTGGTTTCTGACATTTTTTTCAGGGGAAAATTGAGAAGACGTATTTGCTGGAGGGAAAAAAAACCCTTCTAAACGAAACATTTTCCTCATTTATATAGCAATAAATGAGCCCTTCCTGGATGGAACAATGAGTTTTGTTCCTGGATTTTCTGAGCAAGTCATTCACTTCTCCTGGCCTCAGTTTCCTTCTGTGTAAAACCTATCAGAACTGGTCCACAAAGTGCTTGGACACCTACAAAAGAGTTAAATACATTTCAAGCTAGATCCTTGAGATGATTATTTTATGCTGACTGTCTTTTGCACTAAAATTAGTTTGGGAAATGTATTAAAGATGAATAGAGCATAAGATTTTTCTTTTTGTGAGAGTAGTTGTTTTTCAAATAAAATATACATATCCATTCCCCCATCCTAGAAAGAAAGAAAGAAAATGAGAAAGGAGAAGGAAAAAGTGGTTCTTGCCATACTCATTGCCAGCATTTATTCCAGCGTCCAAAACTTTTGGCCTGACATCCCTGGTCTCTGGTGGGGGCGGCTGTGCCGGGCTCAGTGACTCATTCAGTAGTTGCTTCACTATATGGATTTTGCATTATGTAACTCTGTGTTAATCTGGGATTTTCCAGCTCTTTGTTTGACTCCTTTCTTGAACGTTTTTTCTATGGTGCTTTCGTCATGCTGTGTTCTACCACGAACCTCCTTTTCCAGGATTCCCTGAGATTTCCCCCTCTTCCACTCTTTCCATTTCCCTGGAAGCCAGAACAGGGTGTTGAGTGGTAGGAACAGCCAAACCCGCTGAGGGAAAATGATACTTTCCTTCTTGTCTTTAGAATTCCCCTCATTTTAGGATTCATAACTGATTTTGGTACGATGTGCTCTGCTGACTGTACTTTCTCTTAATTTGTTGTGCCCCTGGGATGCAGACAGGGCTTATTATGCCCAGCTGTGTAAAGCCTATAAAATGCTTGGCTATATGATCACAGTATAGTCAGCAGCCTGTTCCATCATTGCTCGTGTTTTTAACAAGTTGGCCTTTTCCAATGAAAGAGATATTAAAGATAGGCTTCAGCACCAGGATCTAAGTGCAACATCACTCGGTAGTGAAGAGAGACCTTTTAATATTGGGGGGCAACAGCTATAGGTCATATTTTGACTCTAGCCCAGACACGGTAAAAAAAAAAAAAAAATCTAAGAAAACCATTGAAACATATTGAACATTTTTTTGGAAAGAATGGTTTTTACTGCTAAATGTTATTGCTCAGACATTGCAATGAGGGTTCCCTGCTTCAGAAACTAAATACAGTTTCTCAGGAATAAAATGAAAGCTGATTCTTTATTCATTTTCCATTCGGAGAGAAGCATGAAATGTTATTACTGAAGACTTGTGCTGTGCTGGCCATGTATGCAACACCAAGCAAAGACAGAGGGAGATCTGCCAGCTGAGGATCTGTGTAGCTGAATTAGCCATATTGGAATACAAAGGCACTAGAAGACACAGAAATTCCTGCAAAGCCTGAATTGGGAAGTTTAAATAGCTAATTTAATATTACAGGCTCTGAATAGTCCCATCAACTTGAGTTTATTACTCCCACAGCATAAAAGATAAGCATTGGCATAAGTCTTTGTAGGACTGAGGTCTAAATCAGTCCTGTTCTTGCCAAGTGCTGTGAATGTGCAGTAGCAGTGGTTGTAGTCACGTTGGTCTAAGGACATAGGCAAGCGTCCTCTGCCTGAAGAAGGGTGTTTGTACCCAAAAGCTTGCAAAGAAGAATTTTTCCAACTATTTTAGTTGGTCTAATAAAAGATATCAGATTTACCCAAAGGACCTTGTCTGTGAATGTGCAGTTTCTTATATGCTTCAGTGGGATGTACTGGCACTCAGCACTTTCCAGGGTCAGGCCGTATTCCCCAAAACTGAGTTAAGTCAAGTCAGGGGAGTGCTTTGCACTGATTTTGCTGGGCTTTGACTAGGATGTTAGATATATTTTTACAATCATGGCAGCAGAGTTGCTATTTAATAAATTTAAAGCATAATGATAGCTTAGATAATAGACTTGGGGTTTTCTTTATAAAAGACATTAAAAACCTAACTTTTCCCTTTCTTAAAGTGGTTTAATATTGGCATAACTCTGCTGGCTTGTTTGAAGTTACTTCTGATTTCCTCTGGGATGAAGTGGACTGAGAATCGGGCCGTTTTGTTTAGCTTGGCAGCATCCCTTTATCAAGAACATGCTTGAAATAGGTATCATACCTTCAAGATAAGACTGGCCAGCGACAGTGGTGCAGTTCTTCTAACCTGTCCTTTATCAGTGTGATGTATTGGCATGTGACACTCTGTGGGCAGAGTTACAGAGCAGCAGTGAGGGGAGATCCCAGGTCATGTTGTTCAACTCAGTTCCTAATACTGCCATCTTCTCCTTTAGCAGGGTGCACAGTCTAGCAAATGGTTTATTTTTCTCTTCTGCTTCTTTCAGATATGGAATGTGCAGATGTGCCTTTGTTAACCCCGAGCAGTAAAGAAATGATGTCGCAGGCACTGAAGGCCACTTTCAGCGGCTTTGCAAAAGAGCAGCAGCGACTGGGAATCCCCAAAGGTATTACATGCTCGCACCTATGTCCCTCTGTACAAAGGGGTCAGAAAGGAGGAAGCCCAGGCATTTTCTTACATCCTCTTCTCCAAAAACATTGTTCCATTTATTATCCATTTCGTCACCCTGTCTCAGCGCTCCCTTGATCCCTGGCATCTCTGCCTGGAGGAAACTACAAGTGGAAGTATCCAGCATTGTTTGGCAGGTTGACTTGTATGATGTCCACCCTATAAGTTGAGACATCTGTGCCATATGACTGCTTTCCATTACCCCAGGGAGCTCTAACCCTTCCACTGGGCTCCTTCTCAAGGCATCATAGGGATGTTTTGCCCAAAGAGATGTGGCCATATTTCACAGTACCTGCTGGGAGACTATCAGGTTTTTCTATGAGGAGAGGTATGAGGTGCTCTTTGGCCTAGATTAGCTATCTAAGAATGATGCTCATGAAAAGACTGGGGAGTTTCAAGAACAGGGTAGCAAAAGAGATCAGAAAATCCTGTGGGAATTCAGTCATTATCAAACACTGGTTCAGGACTTGCTAATGGCACACACCATCATAAGCTTTGTCAGAAATGGCACCCAGTAAGCCAACAGAGCAGTGAGGCCTAAAGGATGAACATCATTTTGTGGTGTGTGTCCCCCACCTCCACTATTACATATTAAACCTATGTCAACTACAGCTGGGAATGAGAGGGTAACACCAATTATCAGAGGGTTTCAAGATGAAGTTGGACAGGCCTGTTTGGACGGTTTCAGAACAGTGAATTCCACACCTGGGACAAGATGACCCTGGAGGTCTCTCCTAACCCTGTGGCTCTGCAGGCTCTGCACCTGTTGGTATAGGAATTGCTGATTTTTTTCTCACTGGTTTGGTGTCTTTGTAACATGTGGATGCTTATTAATGGATTTCTTTGATGACCCCCGATGTAGACCCCCAGCAATGGACGGAGACTCACGTGCGAGACTGGGTGATGTGGGCCGTGAATGAGTTCAGTCTGAAAGGAGTGGATTTCCAGAAGTTTTGCATGAATGGAGCTGCCCTCTGCGCTCTGGGCAAGGACTGCTTCATTGAGCTAGCACCTGACTTTGTGGGAGATATTCTCTGGGAACATCTGGAGATGCTGCAGAAAGGTAACTGAATGGGTCACCAAATGGGTTACAGTAAGGGGCTTGGAGGCAGACTGGCCCATGAGACCCCCAAAGAGCATGGCTCGGAGTCTGGATGCAATAAAGAGCAATAGTGTAACAGGCACTTTGTGCAGTGATGCCATCCAAACTTTGCAGCAGATGAAGTCATATTTGGATGGTAGACCACTCAGGTTGTTGAGTGCTGCAAGCAGTGGTATCTGCAGTGTAGCAGGGGATATTCTTGCTTGAATCAATCTCTTGGCTTGAGGCTTCTGGACATGATATCTTCTAGGTATGACTTAAAATAGAAGCCCTGAATAGTTGTGATCAGTGAAGATCCCATGGCATTTCCTGAGCAGGGCAGGCTGATCATGAAAGATCAGTGGATGTGGCTGGTTTTCACTGCAGACAGGGGCATTCTGTCTGTTTGGACATTAAAAGGGGGATTTTCCTAATCACTCAGTATTGGCCTAACTTTGTCCCCACTGGGAGTTTTTCCATTGCCTTCAGTTGACTCCGAGTGGTACTTTTGAAAATCCCACCTTACATTTCTAGTTGCAGCTGGAAAATACTATTCTTGATTCCTTGCCCTAAAAGGTAATTTTTGGGTAGGGCTGTACAGCTTCTGTGTTCCACGCCCAAGAAGATTACATTGCATCTTTATTTGTCTCTGCATACCAGCTTTCATGGGCATTGAATATTCTCTCGATGGAGAGCATAGCAAAAGATCTGATGAGATAGTTTAGAGTAAGTAAACTACCTCGAGGGCTGATGAGTTTGAGTTATGAAATTAAGATATAAGCAGAAGCTGCAGACCCATACAACTCTGTGAAGCATCAACGCATTTGTTTTAACGTAGAAGTATCTACTTAAACCTTTTTGACTTCAATGGGACTTGAAGTCCAACCTAATGTCTACAAAAGTCAATAGAAAGATTCCAGTGGAGTGTGGATCTGGCTCTTCAAAAACGGAACTGGCATGTGCTTAATTCCTTTATTGAATGGGGACCCAACTACGTGGGGTGGCAGGATGCACACATACCCTAGTGAGCTCTCCTTCACTTTAGGGATACCTGCCCAGCATGCATCATTGGAGACCCTGAGACTGCCTTCCTGCAAAAGCCTCTGTGCCTCGACACTGTCCAAGGCACTGATCACATACCATGAAGTGCCCAAAACACATGGGGACACTGAGCAGATCTGAACACTTCTAAGCCACCCTTTTCTCTATGATGCAGAATCTAGTTCAGTCATGGAGCTGTTTCCTGCCCTGGGCTTCTAGATATCCACTGCATTGACGCATTGACTGAGTGTCCTTGACATCAGGGTTGCTCCAGTGGCAGTAAAGGGGGAGGAGGTGGGGACTGAGAGGTGAAGGATTTTATGCCTTCCAAGAAACCCATTGACAAATGGAGGTTAATTACTGATTACTAATTTTACTGTCACCTGTGGTTTGCAGAAGGTAAACACGGCTGTTCTTGGGGTCAGCAGCAGCCTGTATTTTCCTACTCCTTGTTTGCCTCTGCAATCTTTTTCAGTTCTTTTCTTTTTCCGTTAGTTTTTATGGAGCCTGAGTATTCACAACAAATACATTTAAAAAAAACCTCGTAGTGAACTCAACCCCCAGTTACTGGAAGCAGCTGAAGAGCTGACCCCCACTTCCTGCTACTTGAAGTTTTATGCCCTTGAATGTTGCCTGCTATGGCAGTGGTATTTTGGTTGAGGCACTGTACTAGGGCTTGAGAGAATTGGGTGCATGTCCAGCTCTGCCACTGATTCTCTGGGGCAAATGAATTAAACAGCTCTATGCCTCAGTTTCCTTAGCGTAAAGTTGGTTGAATTGTTCCCTACTTCCTTGGGATGCAGTGTAGCTGCATCTATTGATGTTTGTCAGCACTTGCATCATACAATGATGGTGCAGTGCAAAACCCAGAGAGATGGATGCCCTGATAAGAACTTTTACCTGCCAGGTCCTGGATTCAACACTTACCACCGAGGCATGAAAAGAACGATGCATTGCTGCCCCTCTTGCACTCAGGGCACAGGGTGGGGAATCCAGCAGTTGGAGTTGCATTTTCAGCTCTTTCAGATGTGCTGTCTCACCTTGTGCAAACAACATAGGCTCTCTGAACTTCACTTTCCTTGTCTGTAAGACAGGCAGACCTAGCAGGATGGGTGACTCCTTGCAGAGATTATTTTGGAGCCTTAGACAGCAAGTGCTTTGTAGAAATAACCAGCTTTGTGCATTTTAGGGCTGAATCTTGCCCCAGTGAGGTCAGTGGGGGTCTAGGGTATATCTGTACAGCATCTGCAGTACTCCTGAGAAGCATTTCCTATCCACATGTTCCTATGCGGCACACACCAGACCCAGAAATAGAGTTGTGAATCCCCAGGAAGGCACTCCCCAACCTAGAAACCCCAAGTAAGATGTGGGCGCTGATGTGCTAGTACTGTACAAACACGTGGTAAGACGCAAGTGGCTATCAGGTGCTAACCTGCTAATATCAAAGATAGAATCATTTTTCCCATTTTACAGACAGGGACCCACTGTACAAAGAGACCGAGCAACCCGCCTAGGGAGTTCGAGTCACAGTTGTGAGCTGAACCCGCTTCTCTTGAACCTCCCTGCAGGGCTTACCCACTTCAGCAGTGTACTTTGGCACCGTCTTTGCTGGGAGCAGTACCAAGCCTTTGCTTGTTATCCCAAAACACTCAGCACCACCTTTGCGAATCCACTCCAAGTCATCAGGTCACATGGGGACAAGCTACAACCTGTCAGTCCCTCTTATTAACATGCCCCCGTTAGCTTTTTCAGAAGAAGTGACTCACATACCACAGGCTGCTAAAGGTATAAAAATGGTAGCAGACGGGTAACATTTTCTTTATGTATTTGGGCGCTTTCAGGCTTATTTTTCCAAATTTCTTCTTAAAATAGCTCCTGGTTACCAGCAATGTCAGCAGTGCCCTCTGCTTGACTGTAAACCTACTTGAGCATTGCCCTCTTTAACTCAGTCCCACCCTTTCCCTGTGGTCACCCATCCTGCCCCTTGGCAGGCTCTGCGGGGAGGGGAGAAGAGCACTCTGCATTAGGTCTTTCTCTTTCCACAAAACCTTCCTTTGTTTGAGAATTTTTTCCACCCTGCAATCCCAGGAGGGGAGGCCAAAATTAGGCTCCATCGAGTGAACGTGCATTATCTTTGGTTAGTTTCTCTCCAGCCTCAGCAGAAATAAACATAGTCCAAGAAATTCATGTTTTTTTTATTTTTGTTACCCTTTGTAAGCTCCCATGACGGTATCTCTGTCCACCCACTATGCTGTGCAAGCGATGCTGAAAATGAGCAAGGTGTGAAAGGGGGAAAGAGCCAGGACAGAAACTACAACTGTAGTTGGAAGGGGCCAAAATATATATGTGTTGATTTTACAGTTAACAGTCATTGATTAAGCAGCTAGAAACCCCATGGTGGTAGCTGCTACATGTTGAGTGTTCAGCAAAAGTAAGTTGGTGGCTGTGCAGCAGCGAACTTATAAATGTAGTATCAAGGTATTTTCTGTCATCTTACTATTCAGCTTTACCTTGTGGCTCACTGGGACAGGAACAGTACCGGTGTTTTGGACTTGGAGGAACAGTGCTTGTCACATACTCACACATGCATATACTCAGAGCTGGTTCAAAACAGGGGAACTTTTTCAGGGGGGAAAAAAAGCCTAATTTTTCATTTAAAAAAAGTCTGATTTCAAAATGTTATTGACTCTCAAAACATACACAATGAGAACTGGTCCAAACTCTGGGGAAAAATGTGGTACAATTTGTTCTTTGTTGGTCCTTAAAAAGGCTTAATTAAAAACATATATGTGAGCTCTACATACAATCATGATAAGCAGCCAGCAAAAGCAGGAAAAGTAGCAAAAACTAAAGGAAACAATTAAAGATTAATAATAATATTATAACAATGCCTAGAAGTTCCAGCTGTGATAAGATTCACATGCAGCAGTTTTGAAAATGTGGAGAATTATTGGTGCCTAAGGCTTGGCTTTTCAAGGAAATCAGGTAATCACTTTTGCACTTGACTTTCTTTGGTTTCTTTGAAAATCCCAGCTATAGTAGCTGAGTGCTTTGGGAGATTCTGGCCTCTATGTATAATTCCAAGTGTTGGTAAAGTTTATAATCCTATGAACTTTCTTCTTGCAGAAGAAGCAAAGCCATATCCAGCTAATGGAGTGAATGCCGCATACCCAGAATCCCGTTATACATCCGACTACTTGATTAGTAAGTCTGAGCTGCATTTCCCAATGCTTTTCTTCTCCTTTAAATTGTCCAGCATGTTACTGTGGTAATATCTGACGGGCAGGGTACCACCCAATAGCCCACTGTCAGTGCTGACTTTCACTAGAAAAGCAGCACTCTTTCTAGGCCTGTTTCTGTTCCCAGGGCATCTTTGGAGTCCCCTTTGTTTAACATACTGGCAGATTACTACCCTGATCATGGAAAAGTATACAAAGTCCATAGTAAACTCATGCCTCTGTTTTTCTTGTATGCGCTAATTAGTATTGATTCATTGTTATCAGGCATTAGAGTTGACACCCCACTGGGCTAACCAGGAGGAAGCATGGCTCAAAGCTCTTGATTCAGACTGTTTGTAAACTCCTTCCTTTTTAGAAGTCACCTCTGGTAGATCTCCTTGAGTAACCTAGGACTTTCAGAACAATTGCATCTCCCATGACTTTGATTGGACTTGTAGGAGTTCAGCTTTTCTGGGAAGTTCACAATGTCTCCAGCTGGGCCTTTCAATACTGTGGGTATTTTTAAAAATGTGTCCCCCCCCCTTGTTTTTAATGGAAGCTTGGATGCTGAAGTACATGTGGACCCCACGAGGATGCCCAATCAATACGTAGTTCAGCCTCCAAAGCCAGCAACTGAGCACCCGTGCTGCAATAGAAGGGCATGAGTTGTGTTTCTTCTGGAACCAGCTGATCTGCTAAACTTGCATTCCAGATTTTCTCTCTGGTCAGTAAGGAAGGCTGAAGCAGAAAGGATGCTGCTTGACTTTTGTGCAGTTATATAATCATTTAAACAAAGATAGCCCTTGTCCCAAAGAGCTCAGAACCTAGCAAGAAGCAAAAGGTGGAGACAGCCATGCTCTGCTTTGCTTTGCTTTATTCTACTTATGATTGGGATCCAATGTTAACGTAGCCCGTCATTCCACTGGCAGGTTATGGCATCGAGCATGCTCAGTGTGTGCCTCCATCAGAGTTCTCTGAGCCCAGCTTTATCACAGAATCCTACCAGACCCTCCATCCGATCAGCTCCGAGGAGCTCCTGTCCCTCAAGTATGAGAGTGACTACCCAGCAGTCATCCTGCGTGACCCTGTCCAGACAGATTCCCTGCAGACAGACTACTTCACGATCAAGCAGGAAGTTGTAACCGCGGATAACATGTGCATGGGGCGCACCAGTCGAGGTAAGGTTGAAAGTCTCCAGTCTCTGCTTGGATTTTCAGTGCATCTCTCCACCCGCCCCTGTAGATACAAATGAGTGGTGACACTGCCCCTTCCGCCCTGGAGGTTTCTTTCTAGTGGGGTTCTATTTGGGGCCAAAAACCCCCCACGTGTGCCTCACAAATAGTTTACCCAACACATGTTGTCCAAGGGTCTGAAACCTTTTATGCATAATGTCCCAGATTCTAAACAGCTGTGCATCATTTTTCCACTGACTGGTGTAACAGCAGTTTACACAAGCCGAGTATGTGGCCCAATAAGTTAAGGCTACCTTGGAGAGCAGTGTAGAGAGTGTGGTTATCCCCGCTGTAGAGGCAAGGTGACTGTGGCACTGATTGGGACAGCATCTTCTTCAGTCCACATAATATGGGCCAGGTATAGAGCTCCTAGCTCCTGTACTGCAAATACCCAGGCCCAGATCCTCAAAGGTACTCAGGTGTCTAACTCCCATTGAAATCAGGACTTAGGCACCTAAATATTTCTTAAGAATCGGTGGCCAAACACCTTTTTAGGTTAATATTATTAAATTGAAACAGGCAGACCCAGATTGTCAACTGGTGTGTGTTCACCTGACTTCACTGAAGTCAGGACAGCTACTCTGTTTTACAGAGTTATCCACAGAGAAGGTCTCATTTCATGGAGTTGATAGTCATTAATCAAAGCATGTATTAGTGTTCCCTTTTATAGATGGGGAAACCAAGGCAAAGAAAAGCAATTTGACTCTCCCAAGATCCTGCACTGCAGTGAACCCAGCTCATTTGATTCCTGATTCTTGTCATGATAGCTGTGCTGATGTGGATTGACTTTGACCTTGAATTTTGACTATATCATTAGTATTATTATACTGGAATGAGACCAGGAAAATGCCAATGTTGGATCTTTCCATAAGTTCAGACTCCTCTGCCAGTCTGTGTCATGCTCCCATCTGAATTCACATGTGCATTAGATTATGGGGGTTATTTTTATGTTTCTCTTTTTTGTTCGAAGCTGGGGAAGGCTTGTTTGAGGAGGGGGATGGTAGTTCTCTCTCTCTCTTTAACTACTACTACTGGTTGAACATTTATATAAAACAGGCAAATTAGCCAGATGTGGTGAGGCTAGGGGCAGCTGTGCTGCAGTTTTAGGTAAGCTCTTTTTCCGGGGTTGTTTTTCTGACTGTTTTCTAATTTGGTTCTTTCTCTTCTCTTGAGCTTTTGTTTAAGGAAGGAAACTTTATAGTTATTATTGAAAGGCAACTAGCCAGTTGCACTTTCGCAATCATAGCTCAGTCGTACACAGCCTCCAGATCTCAAGGGAAGGGGATCCTACAGAAGCAAGTCCCGCAGCCTAGCGCTAAGTCAGGAGAGTCAGGAAGAGGCACCTGTATTAATGAGCCCTTTAAAATGTCAACCATGATTCTTGGTTGTCTCAAACCCTGCCCTGGTAATGCCAAAGGATCTGCCTAGATGGCTGATTGTGGGTATAAAATACACGCCCAGTTTAATGTCTCGTAATCCTGCCAAAATGGGTCAATGAGTTGGAGTGTATATAAGAATCCACCCCCTTACAGATATGATTATATCTTTATTATAGATGTCATATAAACAGCTACATGACAGGAATTTCATCAAAAGCCTGCAAAGCCAAACAGTTAAAAACTAAGAAACATCAGAATTAAGGTTGCCTTTGCAACTTCAATTTGGCCCCTTTGTAACTTTGCTTTCTGGCAGACTGTATATACATGATGCATGCTCTTTTTTTATTCTGCATGATCAATAAAGACAGAATCTTTGGAAAACTGAGCCGTCAGGCTCCATCAGTGCTCCACTGAGCCTGTGCAAACTCTGATTGCCAGCAGCTCGCAACTTGGCCAAATTTAGGCAGATTTTCCAAGGCACAGCAACAGCACATCCACAACATCTCAGATCCCCTGCCAAGTGTCAAATTCCTGTTCCAAGGCAGGCCTTAGATGTTCTCAATGAAATGGTTGTACAAATCATTTAATAGGGGTAAAACAACAGGTTTTCCCCTCTCTGCTTTCTTGGAAATGGCTGTGCTATTTTTGTTAACATTCACAAACCTCCCCCCCCCAACAAACAAACAAAAAACAGTCTGAAATATGAGAGTTTTGAGCCTAAATGTTGGAAGTTTGGTGAAATTGTAAGGAACTGAACACAGAGTCTTGTAATGGAAAGTGTCAAACAACCTTACATTTAGGCCTTCCTAGCTGCAACAAATGTATAAATGATTTCAAGGAGAGACAGGCCTGATCTTCAGCCTCAGATTTGAAAAAGTGTAAATCAGCAATAAGATTGTAAATGCTGGCTTGTGAATTATGCTCATTAGGGCTCAGAGTCAGTGCCCCGCTAGGCTGAATGGGAGCTGAAGTCCTAATGCCTGCTCTGTCCATTACTGAAGAGGCCGACTTCTGCACGCCAACACTAGTTAGGCTCTTCTTGCAACAAGCGCTGTTTAAACTAAAATACAACAAATATTTGGCTGCATGTGCCAGCTCCATTCTGCGTTCCTTTCCCTTGAGATTTACTATCTGGGCCTGAGCAGGGGGCAGTTCTGCCAATGGAAATTTCTCCAGGAGCTCTTACACAATCCCTGCAGCTGTTTTTAGCCCAGTTTGGGAAATTAATGAACTTGAATGATCCTATTACGCTCTCAGCTTGTCAGTGAAGCTGTTGAGCAATAAGCAGAATAAGGCAGCTCAGAGTGCAATTTAAATCTATTTTTTTCAATCCCTTTTTTAGCTCCCTGTACTTCTAATCACAGGGCACCAGCTCCTCTGCTGGAGTAAACCAACGTAGGTCCATGGATCCCAGTGAAGCTTCCTTTTGTATTCCAGCTGAAGATCTGACCCTATAACATATTGATCTCAGCAGAGAAAACAATTGCAATTGTTGATGGAGTCCAGATGTGTGCAGCTCAGCGAAGCAAAAGTTGTTGTTGCCTGACTTGTGCACCTAGCTAAACTACTGCTGCTTGATAACTTCTGGATGCCAGGGGCTTTGGTTATGATTTACTGCACAGAAATATCACAATAAAGCTCTGTAGCAAAAATGCCAGTAAGGCAAGTGAAAAAGAAGACTTAGCAGGGCATTTGGCAGGTGGGCATAATGCCCCAGCCTAAGTTCACAGGCCCAGTTACCCATCTGGACTGTGTGAATGTATATCTGCTCCATGTGTTTACCTGTTTGCCTGTAAACTCTGTTGGGCATCATAAAATATCATGGATGCCTACGTTGGTATATACATGATCATGAGAGCGGGGCTCAGATCACAGCATTCAGAGTTACCTAGTGACCACGCCTTTAGGAATTTTCTTTGGGCCTTTGTGTTATAGAGGGACTCTTAACCCCTATGCTTAAAACACAGAACTGTTAATGTCCATTTTACTGGGGTATTTCCCTTCAGATGCCCAAAATCAGGGCAGTTGCCTTTTAGAAGGAGGGGCATTTAAGGTGACAGTAGAAATTCAGTTTGGCTATTTCTCTGATGCTTAAGATGAAACTGGGAGTCTGGACTCTTGGGTTCTCTTCTTGCTTCTCTACCGGTGATGTTGAATTGAGTCCCTTACCTGTTCTTCACCTCAGATTGTCCTACTCTGTAATACAGCTCTGCAGGTTCAAGGTGTAGAGGATTAATTAAAGGCTGCTTTAAGCTGAAAGGTGTAGCGGAAGAGCGTGATGCAGCCTGGCTTGGTACTGAACATGGATAGCAGATCCCTTTGTGCTGTCTGTGTGTCCTGTGACACAGTGTGCCCTAGGAGCACTATCCTCGTGGCTTCAATTTGAGTATTGAATGTAAACTGCCTCCCAGCAGGTGGGGTGAATCTCATTTCTACCTCCATTCCCCCCAGGTAAACTAGGGGGCCAGGACTCCTTCGAGAGCATAGAGAGCTACGACAGCTGTGACCGCCTGACACAGTCCTGGAGCAGCCAGTCCTCCTTCCAGAGCCTTCAGCGTGTCCCCTCCTATGACAGCTTTGACTCGGAGGACTACCCAGCGGCTCTGCCCAACCATAAGCCCAAGGGTACCTTCAAGGACTATGTTCGAGATCGGGCTGACATGAACAAGGACAAGCCTGTCATTCCTGCTGCTGCCCTTGCTGGCTACACAGGTAGGGTCATATCCCCTTGGCCAAAACCTCTCAGACAAGTCTCTTGGGTTTCACTGGTGCTGGAGACTCAAGGGCTCTGACCAGAAAAGTGATGCAGTGTGGGCAGCAGCAGTGTCAACCTTCCCCTTGTGTTGCTGATCCTTGACCCTGACTGGGAGGGGCAGGGGCAGGGGGCATGCCAGTGACTGAAGGGGTCCCTCCGGCCACACAGCAGCCCCAGTGAGTGAGGGCTTTCAGAGTGGACACATCTCTCCCTGTAGATGGACAGCTGAGAACCACCATCTGCTGAGGGACAAAGCCCAGTAGCCCCTGTCCTTTGAGATGGCCCAGATTGCAGGACCACATCTAGTAGTCCGGTGGGTAGTCCTCTGACCTCTGTCCCTGGACTGGGTGGGTCCAAACACCCCAGAGCCCTTGTGACATCCAGAATCCAGCTCCAAATATTGTGATTCAGGCCTGTCTGTCTACCAGCTCATTTAGGTATTCACCTATCCATCAGAGCCTTTGGGGCCTTTATTGACAGAGCAGGTTCATACCAGTGACTGAGGGATGGGAATCCCTGTTTCTCCCATTACTGGTGTTTTCAGCCTTGTTCTCTTTAACACGTGTGGAAAATGGGGTGCAGTATGCCTTCTTATTGATCCTATTACCCACTGTCCTCTACAGTCCATGCTTGTAAATGACAATACAAGGATCTTGTTGGAATCCTGTGACCCCAGCTGACTTCCTGCCCCTGGGGCAGGGGGCTGGACTTGATGATCTTCAAGGTCCCTTCCAGCCCTAATGTCTTTGTCTGTCTAAGGCAGCAAAAAGCCAGGCCCATTACTGTTCAAGACAGGAGTTTCTGGGGTCATTCAGGACAAACAGTAATTCAGCAATGTGGTGCAGCAGGCTGGTCACTCATTTGTAGTCTCTGCCTCAGAACAAGATGCATTTCCAAAGGTGCTACCTTTATATCTCTCCTTATATCCATGAGTGGAGGCAAGACAATAATCTCCTGGAACTTTGCACTGTTGAGGTTGAGGATGAAGGGGGAATAAGAACAGGAGAGAGAGGAAGGAAATCACTAGGACTTCAGAATCCATTTGAAACCTAGATCAAAGAGCCAAAGCTTACTCTTTGGCCAGTTCCCCCTCCACCCATAAATAATTATCCCTCATACCCCAGTTGGTAGCAGCTGTGACCTGGAGGAGCCATGTGGCAGAAATAGCATGAGCAGATAAAGATCATCAAAAGCTTCAGCGCAGCCCCCGAGGTGCGACTCTTCCAGAAATCTCCTCCCACGCACATAGCTCATCGTGGGACTGATAACAGTTTGGGGAGGGGGGTGGTGCAGTGGGGAGATAATTTTAGGAGCTACATGTAAAAAGGAAGTGGTTTGTTGCAATAGCTTTAGTTGTAAAGGGAGTTCAACCTAGTCAGCTGAATGGGAGCATTTTAAGTGGCCTGTATAAAAGAAATCAAATCATGTCATGTTCCTGAGCTGGCTACTGCCCGGTAGGATGTGGCTGATAAAACATCTCAGCTGCAGAAGGTGCTGAGCCACATACATCATTGCTCTGTAGACCATAAGTTGTTCCTATAAACATTCTTTGCATTATTTTTTCCTAAACAAGCAAATCCTTCCTACTCCTAGGAGCACCGGGCAGCAGCAGCCCTCTGGTGCGTTAGGATCAGGATATGGTGCACGAGGGTTGATCTCCATTCAACAGGTGGAGAGACTGAGACACAGAGAGGAGTTAGGGAGTAAGTGGCAGAGCTGGATATCAAACCTAGAGGTCTTGGCTCCCCATTTGATGCACTAACCCAGTGGGGGTCAACCTTTGTGACAGGCATGCCACAAGGTAAGCCCTACTCCCTCCCTGAGTGCCTCTCTGATCATTTCCCGCTGCCACTGAGTTCCCTGCTCCCTGCCTGCTCTTCCATGTGCCACACAAAGTGGCTGTGCGTGCCACTTGTCATGGATACTGAGGGTTGGCTACCCGTGTGCTAACCATTAGGCGATACTCTATCCCTCAATGTGGATCCTGGCATGTGCAACAGTTGGGTGCACAATTACCCATTCCCTTATACAGCTACTTGGCAAGCTGTGACAAATGGCTAGGACATTTTCCTTGCATGATCAAGCCCAGACTTTGCTCACTTTGTTTAGGTTCATTTTATTGCTTCAGGCTGTACCTCCACCTACTCACCGCTCTTCCTGTTCCAGACATATTCTTCACTGGGGAGACGCTTAGGATTGCTTAGAGCAGTGTATGTCAGGGTGACGTCTCATATACAAGCTTTATTAGGGAGCCCACACAGACAACAGGACTTGAGGGCCTGGGTGGTGAAACTCATTGGAGAAGCTTGTCCAAATTTTGTAGTCAAGAGAGGGCTTACCACTCAGAGGCAGCGAACCCACCCGATGCTCAGTTTTAAGGCTTATCTTAGGGGTGGGTAATTAGTTGGTCTGGAGTGGGAAGAGCAGGATGGGCCAGGGCTGTGATAGTGAGCCTGGGGCAGAGCTGCGACCCACTCCCTGCGTGTCCCTGTGGCAGGAGCCGATTTCGTGGGCAGGGGTGTGCCAGGAGCAGATTGCAGCTCTGTCCCGGGCCCCAGCCCCACGCTGTCGCCACCCAGAGATCCCAGGGTCTCCATGTAGGCTGGCCCGAGACCTGTGTGGGCAGGGTGCACTCAGACAGACAAATTGGATGGGGCTGGGGAGCAGTGTCTAGGAGCAGAACAGGCAGGCGGGACAGGGCTGGGATCTGGGAGTGGTGACAGTGGGGTGCCTGGGGCAGAGCCGCAGTCTGCTCCTTTCATGCCCCTGCACGTGGAACTGGTGTCTGTCGCAGGGACATGTGGGCAGCAGATCGTGGCTATGCCCTGGGCCCTGGCCTCTGCCTTTCATAACCAGCAAAAGGCAAGAGACATGCACCGCAGTGTGTCTGAGAGTCTCTTTAGGCACTTGGGGTACACAGTGAACCGTCCTCTCCAAGCTGTCTACCACTGTTTCACTCCACTACTACCCCATGGGATGGAAAACCAGATCTACTAACTTCCATAGTGACTTACAACCTTTTTTTCACCCACCAGCGTTAGTACTCCAAAGCATATCTTTGGACTCACGCATGTTGTAACCTCTGAACTAGCAGCTAGATACACTGGTGATCGTTAGACGGAGTTCTGTAGGTTACTTCCTTGAAAGAGGTAATGCCCAGAACTCAAATGGTGAAATAATCATTGCCCTAAATAGTAGGAAAGGGGAACCAGGGCAGCTCTTTCGTTTGGTGAATAGTGAGCACTTAAGCACAAGCTGTTTTGCATTTCTGCAGAACTGATTTAGTTTCTACGTGCAGCTGATCAAGGTATGCAGGGGTACTGAGGTACAGGACTCCTGGGTTCTGTTCTTAAGGAAGGAAGTGGTATGTAGTGGTTAGTACAAGGGAAACTCAGAGTCAGGATGTTAGAGGTCTGTTCCCAGCCACGGCAGGGAAGCGTGTTGCAGCAGGTAGACCATGGGCCCAGGGGCCAGGACTCGTGGGGTGTACTCTTCACTCTGCCACTGACTCAGTTGATGACTTCAGCAGGTCTGGGTCTCCAGGCTTCTGGTCACCCTTCAGGAAAACCTCTTACACACTATCCTTCTGTTTGCTAAGTGCTTTAACTGCCTCTGTATGGAGACACTCTGGAAGTGCCTGGTATTTTTCTTTCATCTATCCTTTGTCTTGCATTTAAGAAATTTAAAATGGTGTTCAGGTTTGGGTTTTTTTTAATCAAGAGCCTCTTTGCAATGGCACTGGGAGGTGGCAATGTGCTTTATCACAAGAGAAGCAGAAGCTCTGATGGTATCAGCCCTGGAAGGCGCATGGTTTGGTGAGAAGGTGCATTTTGGCGGAAGCCTGGCTTGCGTTTGATGTGTTCTTAACTCAGCTAGCAAGCAGCTTTTCAAAGCTCCATTATCTGCCCCCACATCTTGACCTAATTTAACAAGTTGCCATGGTTGCTCAGAGAGGTTGATGCAATTTTCTTATCTTTGGAGGAAGACCGTAACTGCACAAGAGTTTGTGAAAATTAAGCATCTAACCAATATCTGTGCTAAGAGGAACACAACCAAGGCAACTGAGCACAGTCTTCTGAGCCTGTGCAGCAGTAACGAGCATTGTCATTTGCTATCTTAAGTGTCTCAAATTAAAGACACAAGTTTAATCTTTTTGAAACCATCTAAGAGATCTAGGCATGAATCTGCCCTTAAAATGCGGGTGAGATGCGTACAGCCTACACTGCAGTCTGTGGTATGACTACAGTTCTTGGAGACATACCCAAGCTAGCTTTAATCTAACAAGCTCAGGTGCTGATAATAGTGTAGACATGGTATCCTGGAGCTCAGTCCAGGTGGCAGAGCCCACCCTGGACCCTGGGTAAGTACTTGCACATCTATCTTGCACTGAGCTCTGTGCTGCCACAGCTACATTGCTATTGATACCCTGAGCAGGTTAATTTAAAGCCATTGGGTATATGTCTCACCACGTGCAGTCATGCCTTCGCCTGCAGTATAGACATACCCCAAGGGTGAGAACTGCTAGATTTAGGGAGGTTGCCAGATGAAAGAGTAGAGCACTGGATGGGATGGAAAAATACTGGAGAACAGTCCTGGACCAGTCTGTGGAGAGCAGAGTGAACTGGCTTTGACCACAGAAACCTTAACTTTCTCGGAGTTGTGTGACCTGCTTTTTTCCAGTGCACTTGAAGCCGATAGCCTGACCTACTTCTCTTTTTGGCTTTATAGCCGGAGGGACCATCTAGTGCTGAACATTTTGCTTTGCCCATTGCAGCCACACGGCCTCACCGCTGCAAGATGCTTTCCATCTTCTGTTTAGCAAACAGAACAGCCTGCGTGTGTGGGCAGCAGAGATGCTGCATGGGTTTGCTTCACGAGCCTTAGGACCCTCAGCTTCTCTGTACAGTCCCTAGCGGCTGGCTGTGGCTTGCCTTCTTGTTACCCTTTGTACTACAGTAGTGCCTACAACCCCAGTGAATTTAAAGCCTATGCACTGCCCAGCTACATGCTAATGAGAGTTACCATCCTACAGGGCTTCTCATTTAGATAAGACCAGACACAGTTATTGCCCTGTTTTATGGAGGAGGAACCAAAGCCCAGAAAGAATAAATGACTCACCTGGAGTCACAAAGCAGATGAATAGGAGGGCTAGGAACCAAGTCCAGAGATGTCTTCCTGCCTAGAGCAGCGGGGCTGGACCTGATGATCTGCAAGGTCCCTTCCAGCCCCAAACAGTCTATGAAACTGTGAATATCTAGTGACCCAGGTCAGTGCCTTAACCACAAGGGAGTCCTTCCTCTTCTGTAACATACTCTTGTGACTAGGAATCTAGTAGTAATGTAGGGGGTAGCCTGTTGCCTAAGGCTGAACAGCCCAGAATAGTGTGAACCTAGATCTATTCGTAGTGCCAGGATGGACTTACCTCCCTACTGAGCTGCTGTTAAAGGGAGAAAGCAAACACTACAGAGAATATCAAATTCCTCTGAGGCGCTACCCTCCACACCATGTGCCGAGCATTTCCATTTAACAAGAGGTCCCCATGTGAGACCCAGATCTCAGCCCTGGCCCCTTCAATGGCCACATATATTATAGGTTTCTCCAGATTATGCATCTGAAAGCTCTTTCCCACAGAAATCCCACTGAGTGCTGCAATGTCAGGAGCCCCATGGCAGGCAACTTGCTATTTCAGGGCAATGGTTATCTGTGCCATTTAAAAGCGAAAGCTCACAGCTGCTGCTTTATGAGGAAGAAAAGACTGTTGAAGAAAGTGGGTCTCTTCAAGAGATCTGCCTGCTCCTTTCCCTCTTCACACTGCTGCCCGTGCTGCTGATTGAGATTCATGCTGATTGAGCCTGACAGGCACACTCTGATGGGAGACAGAGACTTGTTGCTTATTGCCAATGACCAGGAACTTGCTGATTGTAATAGTCCCGGCTCCTGTGTACTCGTGTAGTGGAGATGTACTGGAGATCACATGGGATGCAGTAGCTTGGTCATCTCTGCCCAGTGCTGTCATTTGGATGGAAACATCAAGGTACATAGACTATTCATGACTGCTCCTAGAAGTGGAGAAGTGTAAAAGTCTGCCACTACCTGAAGCCAAAGTATGGGTGTTCCTAGGCATTGCTTCCCAGTTATGGGAGTGCATTATTATAGTACATTCAGTGGGTGCTCTCAGACACATGCGCTTATGGAAAGGTTGGATTGTCTGCCCTCCTTGATTCAGATGCAATATGTGATTTTCCTGTCATTGAGGGATGACTTCAAGGGTGACTTTACGCTCTGGTTTCCTCTGCCGACTTCCAGAATTTTGCAGCCTCCTCTGCAAACAGCACCTCAGCTGCGCTCTGTGAGGCACGTTTCTTGTCACAAGGTGGAACCCAGAAGGTGGGGTTGGCCTTGGTTCAGTGGCCCCTGTGCCATCTGCTAGACGTGCGCTAAGAACGGTGAAATCCACCCCATGCAACACTGCTCAACCATGACCGTGCTTCAACTTGTAAAGCAAAAATGTGCATCCTGAGCCAGCGACTGGCTTTGCAACTTAAAGCTGTCTTTAAGTTGTATTAGTCACAGTTCAGAATAGTTCATCAGGCTTTGCTATGTCTACATGTTAAGCTGTCCCACTAGAAGCACCAACACTAGAGGTTTAAGAACTGCTACTACTGCACCCATCTTTCTGATGTCAAGTGGCCCGGCATGCTCCCAGCCGGCATGCTCCTCCCTAGAAGAGAGGAAAGTTGCTTATGGGGTCTTTCAAACCTAGAGAAGGTCCTAAACAAAACCCCAGCTCCAGTCATATCCAGTCTTTGAGATCTGGATCTGAATTTTACCCTGTTTGACAATGATGCTGTAGCAGGTCATTCTTAACAAAACAAGACTTCCTGAGGGAGAAACCTGGGGAAGAAAGGCAAATGCCTGAGGCATTGGGAAAAGGAGGTACTGCAGAGACGAGAGTATCAATGCCCAAGCCTACCCAATGCTAGCCAAGAGGACTCAGCCCCTCCTGATGATTCCTGTCTCCAAAACAATGTCATAGGAAGCCCAGGAAAGGCGAGTACGTGACAGAAGTGAAGGCTGTTTGGGAGGCGTTGCTTTGCCCAGTTGTTTTGTTTGGTTGGAACCACAAACCACATAGTGAAAAGAATAGGTGTGCCGCTCTCGATTTTTGTTTTGCTTCTTTCAAACAAATGTCGTTGAGAGGAGGGGGTGTGAAAATTGGCAGGTTGATGCATTTCAGATCGGGCCTAAACATGTAAATGAAGGGTCCATCTGCGCAGACAAGTTGCAGTGATGGAGTTTCACTAGTGGAAATGCAGATGCAGTTTTCAAATGTGAGATGGGAGTCAAAGCAATACCACTTATCCCGGCATGTGGCTTGTGTGCATGAAGTACGCTTGTGCAGTTACATCAGCATAGTTTAGTGGGTGCAAACTGCCCCAGTCTAGACCAGCCAGAAGTTTTGCCAGTTGGGCCCTGTGGACTCGGTTCCAGTCCCCACCCTTAATAGAGGCCCAAGCGTTGCACTTTCTGAAACAGGCTTGAAAGTCCCAGTAAAAACGCAGCATCACCACAAATACCTGTGCTTCTAGCAATAACTTACAGAGTTTCAAAGTGCTTGGAAACTATTTCAAGTGCTGCTGAAATGTAACTACTTCAAGGGTGGAATGAAGGAGCTGCCTAACAGCTCAGTAGCAACCATTTAGGACAGGAAGGGACCAGTACCATGCTTATTTGATTCCACAGGGAGCAGTTTGGTGGGCAGAAATCTGTATTGGTCTTCAGTTTATATGCTGAGGTTGGCAAACTGCCTCTTGCCAAAGGACCTGAGGGATCATGTTTCTGGGGGTTTATTTGCAAGACGCACTCCGTACTTCCCCCCAGTCCCCTCCTCTGGGAGTGCAGGACCCTCTCTCTTGGACCATGCTGGAGCAATCATGCAGCCACAACTTAAAAGACTGAAGCTTCATCTCCACTACCTCTTAGTGCAGCCACCTGGGTTTTCCCCAGCAGGACTAAGTAGGCCTGGCATGGCTTAGCTAATGATACATGATGGCATTGTAGACTAAGATGGAGTGGCTGCAAGTGGGTGAATGAGATGAAATGATGAGACAGCTCAGATCCTGCTAAGTCATTTAAAACCCCTGGTAAATCTATCACCGAAGGCTTAAGTAGGTTCCAACTGATGCAAAGGCTTTGCAGTGGACGGAGATTTTACTTAGAGTTTAAGGGAAACTGGACATGATGATGGCCCTTCTGCCAGTAATTTTGTCATGCTAGAGGCTCGTGTTTTGTTCTGTTAGCACTTGTCATTCAGAAATCATAGCCATGTGACTCCCTTTCATTCAGCTGCATTTGGCAGTGCTTGGGGCAGAACAAAGTTCTGCAGGCCTGCATAAGGAAGAAAGATTGTCGACCTTGTCTCCAAGCAGGCTGTCTCCTAGCAGAGCTATGGGCAAGCTCGAAAGGAGCTCTGACCTTGGACTTGTGCAATGCATGCACAGGAGCTTGTATGTGCGCGCGCGCACATAGACACAGACATAGACGCATGCAAAGAGGCTTTGCTCAAACAGAGTTCCCACTGTAGCAGCATTTCATAATCAGGCTTAAGAAGCATATTTTCCCTGTGACGTTAGAGAATTCCTAATGTGTGACACTCCCCAGTGGACCCTGCTAAAGGGCCCTCTTCACTGCTATGGAGGCAAGACAGGGCATCCTTTGTAAGTCACATTTAGCATGTGAGCCCCCTCTGACTGACTCTATTCTTGGCCTCCCCTCCCTCTCGAGGACAGAGGTCAACAGGCTGAGCTGAAGGGACAGCCTGGACCTCTAATTCCTTCCCTTGGTTTCTGTGAGGAGGGGGAGTATTGCCACCTTTCCATGTTTTTTTCCTGAAAATGAGTGGGTTTGGTGAACCCTCCTCGGGGGGAGGCTGCAAGCTCCTAGAAGAGACGCCTGGTGAAACTTGTCATCATGAAAGGCACCTTTTGTCCATGCCCTCCACCCTGTGTCCATGTCTGAGGGCTGGTATATCTATCAGGATGGCCCTCCAGGGTCTGCTTCTCCCTTGCAAGGCACAGAACAAGACAGACCTTCAGTCTGGCAGTGGGCAGGACTGCAACTTAGCCAAGGGCTGTCTGCGTCCTTCTGACTTCCACCGTATCCTGCTCCAAGAGGGCCAGGCACTCAGCTGGGGTGTGGCTATACCCCATTACACCAGCTGTTGGTGTGGCCCATGGGTCAGGGTTGTGGGATGGCAGAAGCACAGTGGGGAGGAAGTGTCTACTTTAGTTTCAGAGTCTGCTCATGAGATAAGAAAGGAAGAATTTTTCCAGTCAAGGTGGAGATTGCTTGTTTCCTAATTATTTTTGTAGTACTCTGGTGCCAACTGGCTTTTAAAGACAGCAGGGGCCCATTCCTCCATGGGTGTAAAGCAGCTTAGCTTCACTGGCTGAAGCGGAGCTATGCTGATTTACGCCAGCTAAGGCTCTGGGCCCACTTGTCTTGTTAGTAACTCCCACCCTGCCTGGCTGCGAAGGAAAGATGAAGGATGAAGCAGGTCACGAAGTGCCCAAGACGCTGACTGTCTCCAGAGGGGAAGAACAAAGGGCAAGTACGTAATGTTTGCTCCTCAGTAGCACACACGCAGCGTTACACTGTCAAAATACTGGGGCTCAAGTGCTAGAGGCTGTTGGGTGGGTCTTTCAAAAAAAATAATGTCTCGGGGAGTGAGGGACCTAATTCCTACTGAAAGTCTGTGGGGGTCGGGCACGAAACACCCTTAAGAGCTAAAGAAAATCACTAGTATTATTAATACCTATCCTATGGGTAGAAAGAAAGAGCCTCTTTCTCCAAGGCTGTCATCCCAGAGCCTATCTTGATAATACCTGCACAGCTGGCCTGAGCAGACATCTTCTGTGCTCAGACCCCACACCCTTGTCTTAATAACTGCAATTTCTCTATAAAAATACCAAGAGAGGTGGAGTCTGATAACTCTATCTCGACAGAGCTGTGCTCATTCATGCAGGCTTGGGCTTGCCTTGTGTGTTGGCTCCTGCCACCTCACGCATCTGTTGACTCTCTGACATTTTAAATGCGGTCTGACCCTGCCAGCAGCCCACCTCTCACGTCTGTTGCCTTCCCCTGTGGCTTGGTGTGTGTTCATCTAGCTGAAGTCTGCCTGCGAGCTGTGCAGTAGTTAAATCTTTTATGAGACTCTTTGTGCACCATGACGGAGCTGGCTTTGCTCATCCCCTGTAGGCCATTAGGAATAAACGCTGGGGATCCTGTATGGCCAGTAGTGACACTCCTTCCCCCTCCAAGTAAACCATCCTGTGGGTTATGATGTCATGCAATTTCATCTACTACAGTCCTCAACAGACAGAGGGTGATAAACTGCTAGGCTTCCATGCCCCTTTGCATGCCAGCTGGCAGCAGAGAGAGAGAGTAAAAAGTGTTAATTGCATTGGTTATTTGGCCCAAGGTTAGATACATTTTCCTCCTCAAGCTTGGAAAGCCTTGAAAGCTTGCAGCAAAGCCATTGCAACCTGGTTACCTGCCAAAAGGAATCATCTGTCTGGCTACACATTTACTGACAACCCGATCCTGTTAATAGGAACATCCATCAAAATCAATATATGTTTTTCTCCATGCTCCATTCAGTTTATCATTTTTTATTGCTCCTTAGGCTGGCAGAGATCATGGGAAATCAACAGGATGGGCAGATCCCAATCTGTGTGGCATCCCACGGTTACTAATTCAGTACTAGGCTGACCCAGACACTAATTAGACCAGCCCCTTTGGTGCTGTAGTTTATAGCAGTTAGAGAACTGGTGGAAAGACAATTTGCTCTGGCCTGACCTTGCTTTGCTGACTTTAATCCTCAGCGAGCACCCCTTTCATCAGGATGCAAAAGTACCTGGTACAGATGCCAGAGAATCCCTCTCCGCAAGGGGAACTGCCGTTTACCAAGGCCTGGAATTAGTCCACTTTGCTCAATCTTAGCAGCAGAAAGTGAAAGGATTATACCAGAGAACCCGGGTGACTGCATTAATTTTCCTGCTTTGCTTTATTGAAATACTACACAAAAACAAGAGGCTGTGGATGAAATGATCTCACAAAGCTCCATGCATGTTAGAAATGGGCGTGATCTGCAAAATATGGAACCAGGCTTTCCCCAGAGTCTTAGGAGCATTTGGATCAGAGGCAAATGAGCAGGAAGGTTCCAGTTTCCATTTGGGATCTCATAGCAAAGCAAATCAGGAGCAGTTCTATTGAAGCTATGCTAAAGCTGAACTGTAGCAAGGTCGGAAATGGGCTAGCTGACTCTAAAATGTTAGGCCCCATGTCGTCTGTCTCCTCAGCAGGCAGATTTTCCTTTATTTACTTGTGGTTTGTCTAGTTTACAGTAGCTTTTAATGTCTCAAGCAATGGGACACATGTCATTTCCCTTGGCAGACTCTCAGATCTCACTAGCGGGAATTTTATCCTAAGACAGAACTTGACTTGTCATTAATTGATGTCATCCCATTATTCCGTTAGCCACCCTTTTCCTAGCTAATCTTTCTCCTTTCCTGTGACTGATACATGCTACCAGTTGTAGATGGTTGTACTTTCCCAGCTGTGTTTGTTGTCTAACTAAGCTGCACATAGTACATTTATCTCTTGCAAGTCATTCCTTTTAAGCTAGGGATCATTCTTGTTGCTTTTTACGGAGCTCTTCTTAAACACATCAGAATCTTTCTAGAAATGCATTGTCCAGAGCTGAGGATAAGGGTCCAGGCGTGGTCACATTTGAGAGCTGCTAATCAGACAGTTTTGACTTGTAGGCTGTATTTTACCTTTGGTTAGGACATGAGTGAAAAGAAGTGTAAAAAAAGGGAGTGAAAAAATACTTTGGAGTCAGTCAGCATGCAACTTCAATGCAGCTAAATCCAGCTGCGAAGTGTGCAAAGCCCCCAAAATTTGGGAGTAATCATTACATACTTATTGGCTAAGCTGAAGCATGTAGGATTCAGGTACCCTTAGGCTTGGCAAGATGCAATGCAAATAGTCAGAAGGCACTGCGTCTTCAAATCAGCTGTCCAGCATTGGCCAAGTACATTACTGGAAGAATGAGCTGCCCAGAGGAAGCCTTGAAAGATTAGCTCTCAGGGACCAGGAGAATTCATTTTGCCGTGGGAACCTGTTTGCTGCTGATAGCCAGCCTGCTTCATTTGGGGGATTTCTGCTGATCAAACAATTGGTGCTCTTCCTTAAAGTGTGATTCCTGATATGTCAGCAAGGCCAGTTCTGGCTTAACTGGATACTACTTGCCTACTTCCATCAAGTAAGTAGGCAAACCAGTGCCATACAGTATTAGGTGGGACTGAGAGCACAACGATGATTGGCTGAGCATACTATGGAGGCCTTGGACTGCAAACGCAAGCATTTTGGGACACCTTTTTTGGCGTACTTGACAAAGAGCTGCTAGGTAAAATTAGCATCCACATGATACTTAGAGGCAATGGAGGTGCAAGGAAAAGCTGCTAATTGCTATTATCCATAGCAAGGGATACTTCACAGGCAGGTCCTGCGCCTCATTATTCCAGATGCAGCATGAGAACATCCATGGGGAGCTTGCTTATAGCTGAACAGGAGTCTGTTGAATACAGCAGGCTCTCCTCTTCTGTTGCCTCCAAGCTGCATAGCATACAAAAAGATTCAATCTGGATTGTTTGCTGGTTTCAGGACACCACGGTCAGGTGGAATTCCACTTTCAATATGGCCAGGTGCTTGCTGGAAAAAAAATAGCCTTCTCCTGCATTTGGATCAGAAGATCTGAGTGTCAGACACGGAACTTTTCGAAGTGCTAACTTAAGCTCTTCTTTGGCTGACCTCCATTTCTGTGCTGGTTCTGGCTATTCACGCCCTGCTGGATGCTGCTGAGTGCCAGATGCAGTGGGTAGAAGCAGTGGCCTGGTTTCTAGAGGTGCTGTGCACAGTGGAGGCTCCACTAAAGAGCGTGGACTCTATGGGTACTCAGGACCCACTGAAATCCAGCTGTTATTTTAAGTTTCAATTTTAGGCCAGCTCAACCACTGGAGCCAGGACCTGTGTGCTGAGTCCCACCATTTAGGATTTCTCCATGTAGTTTAGATACAGCTCAGGCTTTAAAAAAAGCAGCCATCCAACAATTGGCAGGACATGGGCATTGTTAAGCAAGACTTGGAAAGTTTAGGTATGTGTGGAACAAAGAATCCATTGACCAGAGACCTGGAGCTGTGTGTACAGGTGTGTAATGCTGCTGAGGAAGATCCTGACTGATTCTTTCTTAACACAGTGGAGAGCAGCTGTTTGTAGTATCTGCTAGGGCTGCTGTAGCACAGAGCCAGAGGGCAAAACCTCAGGTGCAGGCATGTGGCTGGGTTGCACATGGCAGAAAAGCAGGGGAGGTAGTTCTTATTGAAGGAGGTGGGCACTGCCAAGCTTATGACTAGGCATGCCGTCATCAGAGGCCAAAAGGTTAATTAAAGAGAAGACAGGGGTGTGGATCTTCCAGCTGTGACTCCAAAATGTCTCCTTTCCCCCTCACCGAACCTGGCCACCCTCGCAGCAGTACCCTGTGCCTGGCAAAATAGCCAGGCTGGCTACACCGAGTTGCCTTGTTGATCTATGAAGGTTTTGTTTTCTGCAAGTTTTTGTAGTTGGTTCCTGCAGCAACACGCCCTGGAGAGAGGCCAAATAATTTTCATACCTGCATTCCCTTTATCACAGTAAACAGTCATGGAGCAGAGAGTCAAGGTCAGGAGGCAGCACCTGGCAGTGCAGGAGTCTGCTGGAGTGCAAAGGATGGCCAGGAGCTTTTCTGGCAGGGAAGAGAGGGTGATGCACCTGTGCCAGGAGACTGTCTCCTCAACTGTGCTCATGTCAGAAACATAATCCTGTTTGTGTAACGTAGTTTGAGGTGAAGCATTCCAGTGGGGAACATGCCTCCCTTACTGCCCTGGGAAGCAAATGTACCTGTCCGACTTAACGCTTGTACTGCCAAACCAACCCTGATATCGCTTGCATTCTTCCTTAGGTCCTTGATGTAGCAGAGGGTGCTGTTTTTTGGTGAGCATCATCCATTACTCTTATTCTGTGAAAACCATGCAATAATAATTTCTATCAAAGTCATACCCAAAGGCATGGATTTATGATCAGGTCCTCATTTTTCCCAGCTAAAGAGTAATTATAGTTTCTCTCCCAAGGAAAAAGTAATGTAAGAGGACAAAAAACATGGAGGGGGACCTCAGGGTAGTTTAGAAAGGAAGTGGAAGGTGGCTGCAGGAGAAACCGTGATAGATGCAGTCCCAGCTCTCACTCCTCTGTACTAACAAAGACCCAGTGCATTTTTTTTATCCAGCAGCTCATTGTGTTTTCTACCAGTAAGGAAAGCAGCCTGCCTTCCTTCCATTCAGGGCTCATGTGGTTTTAACACCTTGGCTCCTTTGTGTTCCTAGGCAGTGGACCCATCCAGCTGTGGCAATTCCTGTTGGAGCTGCTCACCGATAAGTCCTGTCAGTCCTTTATCAGCTGGACGGGTGATGGCTGGGAGTTCAAGCTCTCTGATCCAGATGAGGTATAACCTGTTAGCATGGATAGTGCATCCTACAGATCTTGGAGACGGGGGGGAGGGCAGAAAACAGGGGAGGGGGAGTGCAATACAACACACACAGGGAGGGTGGTGGCATGGCTGCTAGAAAAAAGTGATGATTTAAACCCAGAAAATTGTCCTTGAAAGTCTGTTTATCCATTGGGTTGCAGTGGTGCCTAGAGGCCACTCATCAAGGGTTGGGGTACCATTGTGCTATGTGTGATATGTGTATATAACCAAAGAACAGCTGCAGACCCAAGGAGCTTGGCATGGAAGCATAGTGTATGCAGGATGAGATGCATCTTTCCATTGCCTGCAGTGGATGGATCAGGCCCCTATTCTCTTCCCCACTTCCAGGCACCTGGTTCCAGGTTAAGGTCCCCACTTGTACATGGGTAGTCTGTAGTCTAGGAGAGGGTTGGGCCTTCTGGCCCACTGCTAGCCCTGATACTCAGCGTCTCCCTAAGTTCATTTTTAGAGATCAAGAGAGATAAATCTTCCTTAGCCTTACCCACAAATCACCATTAGTGCTCATGGCTCCAGAGACTCCAGCCTTGTATCTACCAGCTGAGAACACAGATTTTAATGTCTGCGTGGAGTCTGCTTTGCTCATCTTATCTTAACGCCCTCCCCTTCCTTAGGTTGCCAGGCGGTGGGGCAAGAGGAAAAACAAGCCTAAGATGAACTATGAGAAGCTGAGCCGTGGCCTGCGTTACTACTATGACAAGAACATCATCCATAAGACAGCGGGCAAGCGCTATGTGTACCGCTTCGTTTGCGACCTGCAGAGTCTGCTGGGCTACACGCCCGAGGAGCTCCATGCCATGCTGGACGTCAAACCTGATGCCGATGAGTGAACCCGACAAGTCAGACTGCGCAGAAGATGCGTTCGTGCCATTCTGGAGATTCAGTGGGACTTTCCTTTTTTTGCTGTTTTTTGTTTTTTAAATTTTAAAGAGCAACTCAAAATTTGACCTTTGGAAGGGGAGGGGTGGCTGAAGGACTCGTGCTTTTTGCTGAAACTGACAAAGTTTGGTTTGGAGACGAGAAACAGGACTTTTGTCTGAAAGTTCTCAGTTGAGTTTTGAGGACAAAATTCGGAGTCTTAAGGAAAGCCAGAAAAATGTAGCTCACTTTTTTGTTTGTTTGTTTTAAACCCTCAGAATAATCTCTCCTCCACCAGTTCAAAAAATTAACAAAATGATGCCCTCAGTTACTGTGTTCCCCACACCACAAACTGACAAGTCAGGAAGTGACAAGACCCCCCCAGGGTTTTTTGTTGGTGGGTGGGAGGCAAAGGGGCTGCGGGATCTTCCTGTTTCAGGAGGGGAAGACATAGGAAAAACAGGAACTGCTTGTCCTTGTTACATTGCCTTTCTGTCAATTGTTTTTTATTCACACAAAAGGACAGATTTTTGTTAGGAGGGATCAAGACTTTTTTTTTTAATTTGTTAAAATTTTATTTTATTAAATTTTGTGCCAGTATTTTTTTTAATAGTCTTAAGCTCTAAGATGGTCTCAGTATTGCAATATTGTATGTGTTTGTTTCTGTTATGCCAGCAGAGATTTTTATCAGTGTGGAAAGGAAAAAAAAAACCAATTTATGTAGACCCCACTGGAGGAGTGTAGTGCTATGACTTATGTGAAGGAAAAATAATTCCAAACTGGCTACTAGTAATGCTGGGTAAATGCTTTACCTCTGCATTGAGTCCCATGTGCTTTGCTCCATTGTTTGTTGCTAAAAAAGCTGGTTGAACTATCTTAAGACCTTGTTTTTTGGTCAAAAATATCTTTTTGCTGACATCACCATTTTATGCAAACCCCCCCCAGTAGTTTTCCAAACATTCTCATCAACATTTTCATCTATTAGTTTCAAATTAGGAAATTTAAAAAAAAGAGCTCCTTTACACTTTTGAAATAACTTATTTCAAAATGGCCCATCCTCTGAATAAGCCTGAATTTTTTTTTTTTATATATTTTGAACATACTAAATGCTGAAGGATAAATATCAATTTAATTCAGAATGAGTTAGAAAAAAAAAATTACAACAAAATTGAAAAACACAAAAGTGAAATAAGAATGACTTTGCAATTTTGGAAGTTTTAAGTTGTAACCAGTTCTGCCAGTACTGTTGTATATTATTTACCTATTCTGGGCACTCACAGCACAGAAATCTTATTTAAAAATGGCTTCTTGACTATGCATTTTGGGATGCTGGCCACTTGAGCCTGATCAAGCAAACCATGTAAGCACATGCTTAAGGTTAAAGTATTTGCATTGTTTCATTGCCTAGTGTGCTCAGCTCAGGATCAAACTCTTCAGCATGGAGCATGAGACTGCAGCTTGGATAATGAGGGACTGATTCAAACTCCAAAGGAATTCTTTCTGGTGGAGTTAAATTGGGCTGTAGGCAACCAGGGGATCAGGCTCTGAGCTTTAAGCCTTTGGACCTCACTCAGGCTGAAACCAGATCCACCTACATGGATCCCTGAAGATCTCATGTAAAACTAGGGCTTTTGACCTTAGATGCCTGTTGACATTTTTTTAAAAGACAGTATTACATATTTAAACTGAATGTACTTTTCACAGCTGGACTAATTGTAGAAGCACTATGGTGAAATAATAGGAGGAGTGAGAGCTTTTAGAGCAGAGTACCATGGAGCAGAATAAGTTAAGATCCTGTATCAGG